TATTATGGTTGTGGGACTATTAAATGTAGATATCAGTAACTGGTATTATAAAAAGAGATGTCCTGTTCAGATCTTCACAAATTTGTAGTGTGTAGGAAGATATATAATTGGTCTGTATTGTGTAGGAAGATGTATAATTGGTCTGTATTGTGTGGAGGTCTATGGTATGGTTGTTTTTAGGTTTCATGTAGGTGATGCCCCGAGTAAGAAATTTTAGCATGTCTTGTGGATTGATGATGATGTGTGTTAGATGTTTAGCTTTAGCTAGTTCCTAGTGCAGTGATGTAAACATTTTGTACAAAAATTGTGAATTTTGTCTACACCAGGTGTCTTCCAGTTGTGTGTTCTGTTAACAGCATATTGTGTGTATGTTTATTTCAGCACAGGGCATAGTTTATATGTTGTGCAAGTTTTTGATCTCTTCAATCCAGCCTGTATCAGCATTGTGTGTGACAGCATGAGACCAAAGAGAAGACTAATAGGTTGTGAGTTCTTTTGTTGGTGTGTCAGTGTTTGTTTTGGTACTTATTTGTCTGTAAAAAAGTTTTTCATTCTTTGTAAATGATTTATTTTTTGTTTTTGTAGCATAGATGTTTTGAGTCTACGTGCTTTGGCTGCAAGTTTTTGTTTTAGTGTATCAATGTATTCTGTAATGTGTGTGTTGTGATGTTCATGTTTTGTGTTTTGATTTTCTTGAAAATGTTTTTGAGTTGTTTCTTTAATTTGGATGTTATGTTGTTTTTAATGTATTGTGTCAACCTGCCTAATTGCTGTCTAATGTCATTTATTTGTGTTTCTATTCTTATTTGCCAGGCAAGCTTGTGATAGAATTGTGTTTTCTGTGTATCTGTCTGCAATTGTATTTTAAGTCTGTGGTGTGTCACTACTGTGACTATCCCAGCATAAACTAATGTATGAATGACTGAGAGTGTAGAAATTAAATGGTTATAGTGTGATAGTAGGTGAGTGTTTACATAATTTGATGTTTTTCCTACTACTTTAGACATGTTAATTTTTGGAATTTGTGGTCTTTGTACCTGTATATTTAGTGAGTGTTTCCTAAAATAAAAATTGGAGCATATTAACTAAATCTATGTCTATGTTATCAGTGGTGGATGAGGAAGTGTCTGTAGTATCATTAGTGGTAGTTGTTGTGTGTGTGCAATTATCAGTGCTTGTCGTTGGATTATCCTGACAACTTATATGATCTTCATTAAAGTTAAATGTTGATGTATTTTCTGAAATTCTGTCTGTTGATGTATTTCATCAGAAACCAGTTGTTTGATAAGTTCAAGTGTTGTTTGTGGGATAAGGTTGTTGTGTATAATTGTTTCCTTTTTACAGACAATATCCTCACCTCACTGTCACAGATAGTGAGGTGAGGATATTGTTGTGTGAATCTATAGTGTAGTTGTTGTCTGTATGCTGTCATGTTTGTTTCAAGTCTTGTGATGGTGTAGTAAGTATGGATGATAAATTCGTTCATTTCTATTGTCCATTTCATCTGTTGGTATGGTTTTCCAGCCTTTGTGGTCTGTGGATGCATTGCCACAGAAACACCAAGACTAAGTTGGTTCCTCACGTCTGTTGAGGGCATTGCAGTAGCCATGCTTGCACCGGTACTGCTTTTGCCACCAGTAGCCAAGGAAGACTATGGCCTATTTTTTGAACGTGATCCTCTGCCTAACCCACGAACACAGACCTTGTTAACCCAGGCGACGTCCAAGCCAGTATTACACTTAGACCTGGTTACTACCATGGTAAATATCTTTGCAGAATGTGGGTGTGGTCACTCTTAGCTTCATTTCTTGTGCTCCAGCCTGCATTGCTCTATGGATCAGTAAAATTACTGGGTTCTCCACCATGACCAGGTGGTGACCACGGGAGAGTTATTGTTATTATTATTATTATTATTATTAAAAATTATAATCAAATAATCAAGAATTTACAAACTTGAGATGTGTCAAAAGTTCCATAAAACAATTGAAAGCTATTCTTCCACACAGATTGTAAAAATGATTGTAATTGTGATATCATCTGACTTCTGTAAAAATAAATAAATAAAAGTTAATCAATCAATCAATCAATCAATCAATCAATCAATATGAATTTATTTTTCTAGAAAAGCATATAAATATAAGCTTGTAATATTATAAATAACATGTCACAATAAACAATCAAATGTAAAATCAAATAATATATTTTATTTTTGTGCGTATTTTTACATATATTTTCAAATATATCAGTTCAAAATTTTGTGTACTTGTGCATTTTATAATTAAAAACATATATAATCTTGCAGTTGGAATCAATTTTAAACACATTAATATATTCTTCATACGTTCATAATCCCTGACTGTATTGTCTTCAAAATTTTTCCATTATTATCCTATTATCATATATGAAATGTTTCCCCTCCAAACTGATTTTGTATGTTAGGCATTCAACCAAGTGTTTTAGAACAATATGAAGATATGAAGAATAAAGTAGTCTCTTCTGATTAAATAATCAGAAGAGACTACTTTATTCTTCATATCTTTTCTAGTTAATGTAAAATTATACTAAATTCATACAATAAGTTTAAAAATATCCTGTATTAAAGTAGTTTTATGCAGAAAAAAAGAAAATGAATTTTGAAAAATTTTCTAAACAATTATAGAAAAAAAATAAAAGACTAACTTATATGTAACAAATAATGCTACCAATTTTTCATCAATATAGGCAAATTAATAGAAAGATTCTAAATATGCAATGTATGTTCTTATTTCATATTTGATTTACATTTAAGAATATTTAGACAAATATAATGGAAATGTCCTTAATAAATCATTTAACAAAATGAAGTTAAAATGGAAAATCATTTGAAGAATCAAGTGAGAACATCAAATCAAAACAGATAAGTAAATTAACTGGAAGCAAAGTCATTCATATGGAGGTTTTAACTCCACTCAGGAAGGATTAAACAAATTAAATAAAACACAATATAGTAAATGACTTATACTATTTTGTATCTGTTCAATTCTTTGGTCTATTATATTGTGTTATTTATATACTTATATTACAAAAATTAATGAACTATGTTAAAATGTTTTTTCTTTTTTTAAACCTCAACCTTTAAAAATCTTGTGCATAGGTCTGACTAAAGGTATTAGTAATTAATTATTCTATTCTTTGAGAAACATTTTCATAAAACATAATATTAACTAATGACCTATGACAAGAAAGCTTGATAATTTGTTTTATTAAGTTTTGTGAGCATCATTTTTAGAGTTCACCATGTTGACTTTTGATCGTTTTGTTAATAATCAAATCTTTTCCTCCTTAAACTCTGCAGAATTCCTGATTGCATTATTTTTCTGTTTACACTGGATTATAACATGTTTACTAACAGCCTATAATGAGATAGATATGTCCTGGTACAGCAAAATACCTTGCTGCTTTGCAGAAAAGAATTTTAAAAAATCCTGTCATTAGCTCAGCAACAAACTGTACAGAAGTAAAAAGTAACTGCTGTCCTTTATTATAAAAACTTCATAGTTTTCAACTAACAGTTAATTTGAAACTAATAACCCTAAATTGCTACGAAAATAAAAAAACAGTTAACATATATGAAAGTTTTAGTACAGAACAACATCAAATTACAGTTGCACATAATTATAAACATTATCAATTTCTAACTGCTAAAGAAAAACTTATATTATCATTTATAATCTGATCTCTTAGCAGCAATTGGAATATTGTTATTGTTTTCTACAGTAGGCAAAAAGTTTTAGGAAGATGATTTGTATAACAATAGTCTAGTAGTTTGGGATTTCTTAATTCTATCAATATAAAAGGATAATCTCATATATCATCATTAAGGTGTAGACTTGTTGTCAATTAATAATTCACAAAGCAATGAAATTTTGTAATCATTAAAAATAAATCTAGATTTGAAGTGATTCTGAAAAATAATTTATCTAAATGAACTAAGATATGTTAATATCCTAGAAATATTGCTCAAAGGGTAATCCCTTTAAACAAGCATTTTTTTGATCAATCATATGAATCTGTACTAGCCTACTATCTACCATTATGTATATATTGGAAAACTTATAATTTAAAAACTACATTTTTGCATATACTTTCTTCATTTAAGTTTTTAAACCAATAACTTGTCTTTGCAAATTTTATAATACTACAATAGAATGAAAGAATAAAAACCTACTTCAAAAGAAAAGTCAATAGAATTTCATTTTATTTTGAATATAATGCACTTATATGTATGCTTACATAACATATACAGTAAAAATACTACAATTTATATTTGTGTGTAAACAATTTGAATTGTAATCGAAGTGCAAATGTTGAGTAAATTATAAACAAGTTTATGTGAAACAAAAATAAACATTCTTTATAAAAAATAATTCATTAGAAATTTATATTTCAATCTTTCCAATTATTAATATTTATGATTAATAAAATATTAAATGACAATTTTTTGATTTCATAATGAGAAAATTTTGTTTTNAAATATATAAATAAAACTTGAAATTAATAGAATATGTAAAAGTTCACGTCACACCTTTCACCTTGTGACGGCACAACGGTGTGCCGCGGTACACCGGTTGCGGAACACTCTCTGTCCCCTACGGGCATTAAGAAGATTTTTCCATATCTATCGTGGTGAAGTATGACGAGGGGCGGATCTATATAGGGATTAATAGGACTTAAGCCCTGGACCCCAAGTGTCAAGGGCCTACAAAAATTGAAATAGTAAAAAATAATTAATATTAATAATATTATAATAATGATGATAATTTATAGTATTATTTGTTTTATTGTAATTAGTGTAACGTATATGGTCAGTAATTAATCAATGTAAATATTGTAAGACCCCGCTTAACGCAGGGAATGCCTTTCTAGACGACAAAACGATAAACGAAACAGCGTTAAACGAGGTCATTTTAACAGAGTAAGTAGGGATAGGGGAACACGCGACCGAAAATAAAAATAAAAATTTACTGTTGTTGTATTTGTTCATTTTGTATTGATGCATTATCTTTCAGTTCTTGAAATTTAATTTCATATTTACTTAGTTCTTCTTCTTTCCAGTTTTCATATTCAGAAGTACGTGCACTGATTTCTGCTTCATATTTCGCTTCTAGTTGTTCTTTAAGATGTTTTTCTTTTTCTTCATATTTTGTTTCAAGTTCATTTATCTTGAATAAACATATTACATTTACACATTTCTATTCATCAAACCTATGATATCATAAATATCTTTAGATAGTGTAAAAGTGTGGAATTGCATTTTATAGTCTTTATTGGATTATTAGTTATTGCAGAGAAAATTAAAATGTCAAGTTCTATTCAGATGGTTTAGGGAATTCTATATTAGGTATATTACAGTAATACTATAAAAAATGCTCATATCTTTATCAACACTATGTATCACATTACTTATGTTGTGACAGACTAATTTGACAATATGAATACCTAAAATTAGCTAGTGTAAAGCTCAAAACTTATTCTATTGAAATGAGTTAGCATGTAAAATACATGGAAAGAGAGCAGCACTAAATAGAAAAAATTTAATTTATCACTGCTTAAAGATTATCAACAAAATTTTGAAAGACAGAAAAGCTAACGAAAAACATTATGTGGAAACTAGAGACTGTAACAGAAACCAAAAAGCTTTAACACTGCAGGTTTTCTAATAAATAAAGACAAAGCAGTAGACATCCTAACAGTTATATATATATATGTATATATATACATACACACACATACATATATTTTCTATGTGTTTATGTATATTTATAATTATTATTAACAGTAATATATAAAAAAAAATTACTTTTTTATCCATTTTAGATTTCCACTCAATTTCTTGACCAATATATTCAGACTCTCTCCTTCTCAACTCCTCCTCTGCAAAATTCTAATTTTTTTTAAAGTAAATGTTTTTAATAAATTAGTCATAATGAAGTCTTATACTAATAGATTTTCGAATATATATTTTAATACAGACAATAAAATAATACAATTGCTAATTGCTATATAAATTTAGTCATAACATATTGTATATTATAATAGTTTTATTAATTTTCCTTTAATTAAAGAATAGTTTTAACCTAAAAATTTATAAATTATGCTTTAATAAAAATATGAAATTTTTTTAAAATTAAGACTAATTGTTATTAACAAATTTCATTGTAATTTAAATATTTATATAATTAAGAAAATTTTTTGAAATTTACAATAAAAAATTTTAAATATTCAAAATATATCCATTTTAAATTTTAATGTAATTCCAATAAATACAGTGGGTGATCGGTTAATAAACATAATCCGTTCCAAGACTTTGTTTGCTATCCGAATTGTTCGTTAACCAATTATTGATTTACCATAGGTTTTAATGGGAATTTAATTAATTCGCTCTGGAGACCCTCAAAAATAAAAAATATATACTTTCTTACTACGTTTATTTATATGTAATAGTAAAAATACATACATACACAGTCTTGTGTTTTTATTAGTCATGTTTTTTTCGTTTGAAAGTGTTAAAGATTGCTTTTCTCTCTTCTTCAGGATTTTTTGTAAGTAATTAATAGCATTGCAATTGTAGAAATCCCCAAGCCTCAACCTAGTTTGGATGTCATTCTAATACCCCGTTCGCACAGAGCATTTCGATCTAGATTGTGGCTTAAGTCGGAGAGAGTTCCGTGGTGCGAACGCTCTCGACCGTTTCAATCTCGACTGAAACGAGGCTAAATCGCGATCGACTGGAGAGAGTTCTTGAAACTAGATCCAGTCATAAGAGAGATCCCACAATCCCACGCGCGCGAAAAAATACAAGATGGCTGCTGAATACGTGTCCGGCTATCGACAGAAAAATAAAAAAGACATCTGGATAGACGATGACATCTGTCTATTATTAGATATACGGCAAGAAAAAGTATTTATTTCTAACCAAAACTTTCATTTTGTTTGTTGGTGTTCGTGACTTACCACATAGTTATGTCAATTTTATCATCGCATGTAATAGCCGGGTTCTTCTCAAGCGAGTTACCTCTGCGAACAGCACAACTTTCCACTGGCGACAGTCACAATCCAGATTGTGGGTAAATTGAAATCGAAGTGAGTCGTGGATTGTGTGCGAACGGGGTATAAGACTGTTGTTCTGACATCCTCCCACTTCTTCAAAGAATCTTTAATAACAGATATCGACATTAATCCTCTTTTTCAGATAAAAACATATCTCGCCAAGTTTCTCAGTGTTCTTCATTCAAGAGTTCTTGGCATTCTTCTGTCGTCAGATCTGTTTCAGGTTCCATTATGAACTCTTTGATGTTCTTTATTTCTCAGATGTGATTTTTGTTACTCCTTTAGCTGCTTGAGTCTTCTTGATTATACAGTATTTTTCTTAAATAAGATTGAACTGCAGCCTACTGTAGACCTGTTCACACCATACTGCCCAGCAACATTAGCCCACTCTCTACCTTTGCTATTATACTCTCACCTTTCGAAAAGAAAATACAAAACTTAATGTGTGCCTACCCGACAGTCTTGCAAATACATAAAAGAATTCTTTTGTCAGAAAAATAAAAGGCTGAAATTACAAGGAAGAGTTTCAAAGTTTGAAGGAATACTATCTGATCGGTATATACTGGCTTGAGCGTTGATGTCGACATCTCCCACATTCCGAAAAGTTTCGAATTGTTGCCCGAAAACAAGGGAAGACCAATTGTATTCATTATTTTACGTTGCTTCTTCTTGTGTTTGTTCTGTAGGGTGTTCATTATCCGAACATAAAAATCTTTCGCAAAAGTGTTCATTATCCGATCTGTTTGTTAACCGATCACCCACTGTAATTTTACATTTTCATTACTAATCTGTGATAAAATTGATTACAAAAAACATGAATACAGTGATACCTTGGTTTTCATTGACAATCCGTCCAAAAACAATCAGCGAAATCTGAAACCGATGATAACCAAGGCAATTATTTCCATATGAATCAATGTAAATCCAATTAATTCATTCTAGACACTCCAAAATACATACCAAAAACACATTTTATAAAAAATAAATATAGTGTTTAATACTATAAACAATAAGAAATGAATATAAGAGACTAATATGATGGCCTCCAAAATAGAATAGCTATCTAACTGTTTTAATTGATCCAAATTAATAATAACTGTTCGACATCTTCAATTGTTTGCGATCTCTGTTTCATTACTGGTACTACATTCAGGCCTTTCGCTACATTATCCTCTTTTATTACTTTCATTTTTGCCACAATAAAACTTATCATGGATGGTGACTTCCCATACATGAAGCCAATTTCAGCAATCTTAATGCCATTGTTGTATTTTTCAATGATTTCCTTCAACTCGATCATGTTCGTGGCTTTCTTCTTCGAAGGACTGCTGGCTGTGGAAACTTTCTTTGGACCCATGATGGAGCAAAAGGGAAAAGAAAGTAATGGAATTGTTTTGCTAGATGCACAGGGTAATGCTAACACATTTCATTTTTTTTTTTTCATTCATTCATTTTTATTAACACACAAAATGGTACATGCCGGGTTTGTTGTATGAGCACTACTCAGAATGCTCACACAACGAGAAACAATGCTACATTGAGCAGGAAAATGCATGGGTCACTCTTTGTTTTTGCAAAATTAGCAGTGACATCATCTGGGTATGCCGACAAAATCCAAGACAAATTTTTTGTGGAAAAAATTGACGAAAACTGAAACAGACGCTAACCAAAGTCAACAAAAACTGAGGTATCACTATATATCATAAAAAATTTTATTTGGTGGATCTTATATCTCTATTATGGAATGAATAATAGCACTATTTGTGTAATTACTTTCTCAAAAACAAAGAAAGCAATATTCTATCTGATGCAAATATATTAGATATGAAAAATTTCATTATAAAATAAATGTTAATTACTTTATTAACTTTCTAAATAAGCTTGTTTATAATAATCATATTAAAAAAACTGATGCATGTCTTACCATTATCATAACAGATATTAGCCAAGGCACGACACACTTGCAGAACTGTCTGATTATCTTCACTAGATAAGAGATCCACAAGAGGTCCAACCATACTTACGTCTGTACATGGTTTTCTAGCAATATCTAAATTACAGAAAAATGTTTATTTAATAAAAGTATTCAGCTAATCAAATAACATGTTTGATTAGTGTAATAAATTTGTGTTTTCATTAATAAAAGGTTAATGATAAAAAAAATATGTTTTTTAAGATAAAATCTAAATTGCAATTTTACAGTAAACAGTAACAGTAAACAGAAACAGTAAAATAAACTATTTATCAAAAATACTTGGATATTCCTATTGTATACTAAAGGGATGATTCTTGTCTCTTCAATTTGTTGTTGGACCAACTCTTGCTATTATCATGGCTACAATCTCCTAATATACATTCTACTAGTACAAGCTATACAGGTAACTTCATATTCCTCCACTGTTCTTGAAGTAAATTCATGCTCAACAGTTTAGTACACAATGTATTGGACTGGCCTGCACTCACAGCACCTGTTCATCCTACAAATTGGATATGTGATGGANTATATAAAAGACTGTTTCTTTTCCTCTACACAATCTTTCTCTGATTCGATATGTTTCCCTATAATTTTCAAGTCGCTCTTCTGTCTAATTATTTCTGTTTCGTTGATAATTTTCTCGTAGCAATGTTAGACGTACTTCTCTTTCTTCTGCGGTTTTATTTCTCCGCACCACATTTTGCCTTTGAGATATGATTAGAAACCGCAAAAATTCTTTCTTACGCTTTGGCAATGTTTTGTATATTTTTGCTTTTCACACTTTACTATTTACTTTTCACTTTCTGCTTTTTTCTCTTATTTGTACACTTTTACTTATGAAAAATCAACTGAAGCGTGTGCGTCACACGTCTCCAAAAGCCATCCCCACTACTTGCACATAACGGTCCTTGACTATTCAAACACATCTAATATTAAGATTAAGATTACATTATAGCCAATCTTAATCGTTTTCACAGAATGCAAGAATTAGGTCTCCCGTTTCCAGACGAATTAGAGAATTTTTACATGAGTATAAAAACGCAAAAAACCACCTGTAAATCTTGCATGCCACTTTATATTAACACTTCCTTTGTTACTCAACACTTCCATTGTTAACACTTCTATTATTGACACTTCCATTGTTGACACTTCCATTGTTACACATCTTCGAAGTCAACCACTTTCAACCCAATATCTCCCACACCCATATAGCACAAAATGCAGGAATTAGGTCCTCCATTTCCAGACTAATTAGAGAATTTTTACGTCCAGTCAAACGAACTATTTTCAATTTGATCAATTTTCTGGAACGTTTACAATCGTTCTATAATCGAACCAATTCGAATTCGAATTTAAAACGGTTCAAACATTTTTAAAATCGATATAGAAAATCTTCCACTTTCAACCATTTTCAAGCCCATATCTCCCACACCCTTATAGCTATCAAGACGCAACCACCATAGTGCATGAATGGAGACTTGGGGCTACTACNTTTTTATTAATTGTATTTTTCAAATGTTCCAAAGTTAAAGCAATAGCTAATTGTTGGGAAAATTTTGAATAAAAGTGCATTAAAAAGTAAATATACAGAAATGTAAAAATTATAATAAGATCAACCAAAATATTTTAAATTAAAGTCAAGTGACACAATAAAATCAACATAATAAAAAACAAACTCAGAATATTAAAACAATTTTTCAAGAGTAAAATTAGGAACTTTTACTATCTGTAAAGAATTGTTATACTTAAATTGTAAGAGTTTATTGATAATTTCATAAATAAATTAATTTTATTTAAAAAATATTAATATAACAAATAAGTAATTGGTTTCTTAACAATTTTTGATTAATTTCTGTAACAATAATTAAAATAAATATTTGAATTATTCTAATTACAGTAAGACCCAACTTAAAGCTGCCTCGATTAACACTGATTTGATATTTGCATTTTTTACCGGATGCTCGCCCTCTGGTGTTTAAAAACAAAACTATTCTATCTGGGTCGTTTGATTCATTCTTGTGTATTATCAGCAGTAAAGATGAATTAGCGAATAGCAATAGAAAAAGCAAAGCTTTCTGTTGCGTTCCAAATTGCAATTTCAAAGCCTTACGGGAGCCCAATATAAGTTTTTGTCTATTCCCAAACGAAAAACAGATGATTATTCGGAAATTGGTTGGTTATATTTATGAGCTTCTCCAAATTCTGAAAGAGTGGATTAGACTGTTAAGGATTGGCAGTTTCCCCAATTATCCAGCTTTACATGAACAAGTTACACTGTCAATTTTAAAACATATTTTCTCAAAGTTTAAAATGCCAGTAATTTTGTGTGGGACACAGGGTCAGATTTAAGCATTTCAAAGCCCTAAGCTGAACTCTGTAAGGCACCTTACCAACCCTTCACAATTTTAGAAGTCAATCATAAAAGGAAAAGAATTAAATCAAACTATGACTCTGATTTAATACGAATATTGGAAGAAAAAGATGTGAGATTTCACTAGTCTTCTGTTTTATAATTGAATTTAATTAAATTTTTATACCCATTTCATTAAAAATTATTTTTTAAAATTGGTTTTATCAATTATTTTTAAAAAGATCTTATATTAATTCTTAGGAAAAAAATTAATGAAATACTACACAAAATAAAAAGTAAAGTATATTTCGTTGGTTTGTAATAAAATGTTTATTACATAATTTGACTTCAATTTTCTTTTTTGTACAAATGCTTGAGGCCCTAAGCAACAACTTACATAGTGTTTTACTTGTAAATCTGGCCCTGATGGGACAATGTCAAAGCTGATGTTTTTCTAACACAAAGGGCACAAATATGTATAGAACGATCTTGTTCATTTGTTTCCATACCACATAATGACATATCCTGCTAGCAATAATTGTTCATCTTCTATGAAATTTCTCGATAAACAGCTACAAGCAGCATATATCATTACATTGGACAGTGATATATGATTAATTTTACACTACTAGTTACAAGAGACCCAGATAAAGTAGCCATTTTGTAAAAATGCAGCGCCCTCTATAGTTCATGAAAAATGCAAATAACGTGATCTGCACGAAGCCTAAAAAAAGCTCAAAACTTATGCTGATTCAAATTATCATGTCATTTCAATTATTTCCAAACACAAACCGGTCAGCAAAAAGTGGTAATTTGTCATAGTGCTGAACTTTCCTTAAATCTATGTTTGTTTGGTGCAATTTTGGAAAAAATATAACATCATGGATGCCATATATAATATTGACTTCACTTGGCAAGAATTAACTGATGAATGCATGAACAAAGTGTGAAAGAAGTTATGGCTGAAAATAGCCAAGAATTCTCAACTAAAAGAGCCTATTGCTGTATCATTACGTTGAACAAATTGTCAACCTAATTGATACAGCAGAACTAGGTGATGTAGACAAGCAGGATATTGAGGTGTTACTGCAGGTTTCTGGTGAGAGCCTTACCAAGAAGATTTTCAAGAACTGGCAGAACAAGGAATTTATGTAGAACTAGAAAATAAAGATTCTGAAAACCTAAAGAATTTCTGTATAGATTTCCTTAGTAAAAGTTTGATAATGGTAACTGAAATTGTTGATCAAACTGTAGTGAATGATCCATATTTTGAAAGGAGTGCAAAAGCAAGACAAGGCATTTTAAATGTGATCTCTTGCTACCAACATATGCTTAAGGAAAGAAATAAAAACGACAAATAAATCTACACGACTTTATCGCAAAAAACAAGAATTTCAAAAAAGCCAGAACCTTCATCACAAAAATGAACTTTTCATTACAGTGTGCATATGTTTATGTGTTTTTTAACATATATTATTAAGCAAATTAATATAAAAATAACTTAAAAATTGAAGTAAAAATCTGTTTGTTTTTGGTCGTGTGTTTCCCTTTCCCTATTTATTCTATGTTAAAATGACTTTGTTTAGTGCTTTGTCATCTAGGAATTCATTCCTCGTGTCAAGCAGAGTCTTACTGTATTTTTATATAATACTAATAAATAAGTATAAATTGATTTACAAACTTTTTCTTTCATAATCAATTCTAATTGTTCTTTTAAAGCAAAATTATCTGCACTCATCATCTCTAAACTGAATGCAACTTCATCTAATTTTGTTTGCAGTTCATTTTTCTTTTCTATTTCTTCCGATAACTGTTGCTGAAGCTTTTGTTTTGACTGATCAAATTCTGACATCTTTTGAAGAGAAATGTGCTGCTCCTAGAATATGATAATAATTGTTAAATAGTATATATTTATTAGTTTTAGTTAAAAACTTACAGTAATCATAACAATAGTTCAGATTTTATAATATAAAAAAAATAAGTAAAGAAAATTAATTTATTAAAAATCTTATTTTAGACGTTGTTTTTGTAAGATAAAATATATAATTATATTAAAGAATTCAAGGAATGCAATGAACTGTGTCCCATACATGAATTATGCAGATTAAGAGAAATTTTTTAAAGTATTTTGACAGACAGTTACAAAAATTATTTAGTTAACATGTCAAAAAAATCTGTTACAATAACAATAATTATTGTTATAATAAAACAATATTTAATGAATAAAACTAAAATAAAAAATGTGCATATTTCCATTTAGAAGACATCAAAGTTTTCTGGACTGCAATTTGAAAAGATTTTAGACATAAATTCCCGCTGTTATCCATCTGTCTTTCCTTAATCTTGAGAATGGAGTTAGATAGATAAAATCTGAGACCAGATATGGAAACCTTTGGGGCAGGAAGCCCCAATTAACTATATGTGAATTTCTGATGCAAATTGGAAGTCAAGTTATTTCAATTCAAAACTTTTCCCCGAAAGAAGTTAATAGATGACTGACATGACTCCATTGCTAATGAAAAAGCATGATGTACAGGGGCAAGACACTACAGTACTAATTTGAGGAGGAGAACATATATTTTAAATGAAATAAATTAAAAATATAATTAAAAATTGTAGCCATGTCACAATAAATAATTGCTTGTTACAGATGAGATTATTATTAAAAAGAAAAGNAAAAAAAAAAAAAAGGTACACTTTCATATATGTTAAAAAGTAATTATTGAGTCTACAGTTATTTGATATATATCAATCACTAGAATAACTTTCAAAGTTTTAAATTTTAAAATTGTAAACACTCAATGTGACCATACAGTATCACATTGCATGCACAAACTTAATGTTTAATAATTAAATTTCACTTGTAGTTTCTCCAGCAGGCCTTGCTCTATAGTTACCACTATAGTAACTATAGAGCATGTCTAAATTCCTAGATTAAATAGTAGAAATGACCTATAGATAATGTCTTTTATATATCAGAGAAATTATGTCAAATCAGATCTGGTGACCTGTGAAGCCCTTTGCATAACAGTCAGTAACAATGGCTCTTTCAATCTATTACTGATAAAAGTTTTAATAAGTAATAACAAACCTTTCAATAAAAATGAAACAAAGCACAATCTTGTTAGAAAATACAATTATGTAAGTTTTTCATTGAGGTAAAAGACAATTTTTCATCGTGTTCAAATACATAATCCTAATACAGTGGAACCCCGGTTAACGAACGTCCTGGTTAACGACCAAATCAGTTAACGAACTTTTATTTTGCAAAAATTTTGTCTCGGATAACAAACAAAATTCGGATAACGAACGTGACGGTATTTTGTGTCAAATTTTTGTTGGTGTTAGGCATGCGCGAGTTAAGCATTGCTTTTCCGAGTGTTTGTGCTATACTTCTTTTTTCAGTTTTGTGATTTATATATTTAATCAATATGGCATTAAAGAAAGAAAAAAGTCATAGTGGCATTAGAAAACGACAATGAGCTATCACATTTGAGAAAAATTTTGATTAAAAGAGTAAGACAATCAACTCTAGATCAATTTCTTGTTCCTTACACAAAGAGTTTGTTTCTTTGTTAAATTATGACAACGCAACACTTGGGCGATCTGACTAGGGGGAATGTCTTCTGGGAGGTATTTTTAAGGAAAACTGGCCCCTATTTAGGCGTTACAGACATGGAGAAAACCCGGAAAACTCCACATGGCCAGCCTGTCTGAGCAAGGTGCGAACTCACGAACGAACTCTCCGTGTTCAAGGTACGAAGACCACTTAGCCACTGGTGGGGTTTTTACCGAAAGAGACTTCGACTCGAAGAATCTTCCGATGAAGTGCTACCCATTATTTTTTTTGGAGGGGATTCCTTTTCTAAGCATTAAGGTTCATATATCTCCACTTTTCTGCCACCAACTACAACAAACGAAGGTATGTACAGTGCTATTTTATTAAACAAAGTTTACATGTTTGTTGCTGTAATGATAGATACTATGTTTTCCTACATTTTCATCAAAGAAAATTGTTGTATATTACAAATAAAATTACAAAAATTTCGGAGACTAGAACAGATTAATTGCATTTGCATTAATTTCTATGGGAAAAATTGCTTCGGTTAACGAACAATTCAGTTAACGAACGGAGTCGCGGAACGGATTAAGTTCATTAACCGGGGTTCCACTGTAACTGTATTTTCCACACAGAAAAATGGATCCTTGAATCTTTCACTGAGAAATGGCATAAGATTACACATTTCATCTTGAAATAAGCTTTATGTGTTATTCCAAAAATTAATGTATATCACATGATTAAAGGCTCATTTATTATCTCTTAATAAACATATAAAAGCATATCATTGTTTTGAACTGCATCTGTACTAATTTTATATTTTTGTATATTGATTTTCCGGTTTATTGATCGTCACTAGATAACCTTATTCGAGAATACCGGAAGCGCCGCCATATTTCGCTATCATAGGTAATATTAAACAATTTTCCTTTTTTAAAGATTTTGTTTCATTATTGGAATTATTAGTTTTGACATAAAGGTCAGTCCATAAGTTCGTGCGCATTTTTATCTACAAAAAAAGCAACAAAAAATTTTAATTAAATCTTATTTCAATCTATAATGTATTCACCATTATTTTGTACAATTTCTTGCCATCTTGATGATAGCTTTTTAATCCCGTGTTTGTAAAATGATTTCGGTTTTGAATCAAAATATTCAGAAATAGCCTTTTTTACATTGTTCTCATCCTCAAAAGTTTTTCCTTTTAAAAAATTCTGCAAACTCCGAAAAAGATGATAATCACTGGGAGCAATATCTGGCA